ATAGCAAAATCGGAATGAATCGTTCGTGTGTGTGTGTGTGTGTGTGTGTGTGAGAGAGAGAGAGAGAGAGAGAGAGAGAGAGAGAGAGAGACGATAAGTCTCCAACCTCATGGCTCGTGTCATGCAACTTCCATCGATAGGATGAGCAACATCCAATGAATCTTTGGCTAGAACATGGAAATATACACTACCTGGTTGAACATGGCCGTCACCTTCGACATCACGGCGCGAAAAAAAAACGTAGCGAAAAAAGAGCCCGTTCATAAATTCGCGCCAACACCAACCCCAAAAAATAAATGAAAGTAAACAGAAAACCGCGCCGGGTCCACGAAGCCACGCCAACACCAACCCCCAAAAACAAACGGCAGTTAACAAAAAACAGCGCCGGGCCCGCGCGGGAAAAAGTCTCAGCGGGACGCATCACGCGAGACCCGCGTTTTGCTTTAGAGTATTAGGGATATTTTATATTTGAGCATGCCAAACTAGAGCTTGCAGGGTGGACCGTCGGTATACTTGGCCTGGGCCTTATCCATTGACATGTCATTATTTTATTTCAAACAACGTTTAAATCTCTTCATTTTCTGTCCTCTTAATTTATTTAGTCGTCATATATCTTTTCCTTTTATTCATTTGTTCTGTAAAGGGAGTTTCCTAACTATCGAACTAAGGGAGGGGAAAAGGGAAGAAAGAGAGAGATGATCAATATTCAAAAGGAGGATTAATGAATTGAAATCTGTTCGGCACATCGCCCCTCTAAAACCTGCAAATCGGGCTCGGACAGTCTCTGACGGAGAGACACAAACCGCCACGTGTGATGTGAGAGTCCCGTCTCGGGAAATCAGCCAATTCCTATCTCCACGTTGGTAACAAAACCACCCACGAAATGACCTCAGGCTTTCCCAGTGATTGCATATTAAACCTGTGCTCCTGCTTTTCTATGGTGTTCGGGCGCGTGCGAACTAAAAACAAGGACCTGCTTGGTTGTGTTATCTCACCGCTCATTGATCGAACGCAGCGCATTCCCTTTTCGGGCGAGATAGATGTGTGTTGGGTATTGACAGATCGAGTACTGACGGATCCTAGGTTGAATGGAGCGTTGGCAGATTGAGCACGGAATGGTCATTGGCTAAACAGGGGACCGATCGATCGAGTACTGGCAGTTCGTTGCCTGAACAAAGAGAGAGAAAATGGGGGGGGTGTGCTGTTGGGGTTGTGGTTCGGGGTTCGCGGTTGTTGTACCCCTGTTAACCCCTATTGTTGAAATATACCCCTAACCAAACAAAACGAACGGAACAAATACAAGTCCAAAAACTAGCCACATCATCCTAGTTTCTCAGGCAGGAATAGTAACATCAACCCTGTTGGTCATTGAGGACCTCTGAAGAGGGCGCAGCAAGTGACAGGCGCTGTTGCCCTTGGCTTCAGAGAACAGCGGGCGCCCTTCCCCGGGGTTCTTCCCACCGCATCGTCCAATACGCCCGCTCCCTCGGCCACCACCTCCCCACCACCGTCGTTCCCGGCTTTGCGTTCATCTCCCACATCAAACGAGTATGCAACAAAGTCCTTGCAACCGCCCTCGCCCACGAACCCGACATGCCCCTTGTTGACCTCCTCTCTCGCATGCTTCACTACGATCGACGACTCCACCCCCATCACCGGCCCGCGCCCGCCCCCTCCCGCACCCGCTTTTTCCATCACATCACCCCTGAAGACACCACCTCCATCACTTCCTCGGACGAGTTCACCACACCTGACCCCGACACATCTTCCGATTCACTCGACTCTTCATCCCTCACGTCCGAGGAACTCAATGTCGTCCAATTCATGAGGATGGAGCACAAAGATCGCAACTCCCATCCACCCTCATCTACCCCACCCTCCCGCCTCAAGGAACTCACCCCCGAGGAGCGCATCTACCTCCAAGCAAACGGGGGTTGCTTCCGTCGTCGCCAATTGGGGCACCAACAAACCAACTGCCCCAACGCTGCACAATTCACCCGCCAGTCCACCTCCACTCGACCCGTAACCTCCGCATCACCGCCCTTGGCAACCGCGGGTCCCTCCTCATCACGAACACAATCCCCAGGACATCGTCCCGACATCAACACCGCGTCTATCGGCCCACCCATCGGTGACGGCCTCCGTCCCACCGATGGCTCATCTGGCATCAAGAATTCGTCTACCTCCCCCCTCTCCGGTAACGCCCCTCCACCGAACGACTCCCAAGCGTCGCACACGCCTCCCACTGCCTCATGCTCCTCTACCCTTCTTCCAAACCCATCCACTATCACCTTCTCTGATATTGTTGACAAGCTCGACACGATCGGCTTGTCCGCTTAGGCAACGAACAACGTCGCCTCAACACCATCACCATCACCAACTCATCTCGTTTCCACCTCAACATCGCCACCACCCTTGGTGCGTCTACAACTAATATTCGGGCCCTCCTCGACACTGGAGCCACCGCTAACTTCATCACTGACACGTGTGTCCACAAAGTCGATCTTACCTCTACCGGTTATGATTCCCCGATCACGATTCCCCTAGGGGACAAAGACACCGCCGTCGTAGTAGACCGCACGGTTCCCAAGACCACCATGACCGTCGGAACCCTCCGGAGTCAGGTCTCGTTTGATGTCATGCACTTTATGTGCGACATCGTCTTAGGAACCCCRTGGCTGGACCGCTACATGCCATACGCATTCCACCCCAACTTCCTTCGTCTCACCAACCCCCCCGACACAACCATCGACATCCCATATCTCCCGTATCCGACCTCCCAAGGCTCCATCACCCCGCACCAATTCCTCCACATGACTCGCCTAAACCCCGACTCCGCCTACTACTATCTTGTCCTTGATCGCGAAAGTCCTTAGGACTTACTTCTGACGGAAATACCCGATCAAGCCCCCCCCTCCAACCCCGCCATCACTTCAATCCTCGACGAGTTCAAGGACGCCTTTCCTGAGTCCTTACCCGCCGGACTACCTCCGGATCGTGGCGTATCCCATACCATCGATTTGGAACCCGAACATTCTCCACCTTGCCGCCCTCCATACCAACTCTCTGTCTCCGAAGCCGGAGAAATGAAACGACATCTCAGTGAACTCCTTGAAAAAGGAGTTCATTAAGCCACGTTCATCCCCCTTCGAAACCAGCTGCCTTTTCGTCAAAAAAGGTGGAACTTCGAAACTCTGCATGTGCACAGACTACCGCGCCTTCAACCGGATCACGATCAACAACAAGTACCCCCTACCTCGGGTTTCCGAGCTCCTTAAATCTCCGTGGAGCCAAGTACTTTTTACCAAGATCAACCTTCACAGTGGCTTCCATCAGATCCGTTTCCGCGAGGAGGACACCCACAAGACCGCCTTCCGCTCTCGGTTCGACCACTACGAGTTCCTCGTGATGCCATTCGGACTCACCAATGCCCCCGCTACCTTCCAATCTACCATGAACCACATCTTCCGCAACCTCCTCGAAGTCTGTGTCGTCGTCTAACTTGATGACATCCTTGTCTTCAACCCCACCTTCGAGTCCCACCTTTAGCACCTCCGCCAAGTTCTCTCGATCCTTCGAGAGCAAAAATTTTACGCCAAGCTCAGCAAATATACGTTTGCTGCTTCGAGCGTCGAATACCTCGGCCACATTGTCTCCGTTGAAGGCATTCGTATGGATCCCTCGAAGGTCACAACCCTCGTCGAATACCCCCCACCCAAGACCCTTCTCCAACTTCGTTCCTTTCTTGGCCTTTCGCCCGTTCATTCGTAACTTTTCTGAGATCTCTTATACCCCCTCCATGAACTCACACGCAAGGACGAGCCCTTCGCTTGGAACAATCGCCGCCAGCACGCCTTCGATCTACTCAAACAAACCATCACCACGGCCCCCATCCTCAAGATCGCCGACCCCACCCCCCACTTCTATGTCACCACTAACGCCTCCGTCTTCGCCATTGGAGCCTTACTGTCCCAACATTTCCCTCGTGACACCGCCGACACCCCCTCCATCAAGAACTCCCCCACTCACCCCGAGGCTCCACCCGGCGAATACCCCATCGCATTCGCTAGCAAGAAGCTTCTTCCCGCGGAGATGAATTACCCCTCCAACAAGACAGAACTTCTCACCGTGATCCACGCCCTCAAAGTCTGGCGACCGTACCTCGACGGGCAATACTTCACCATCCGCACTGACAACACCATCGTCTCCTCCATCCTTTCCAAGAAAGACATCACGCCATGCCAAGCCCGCTGGTTAGACTTCCTTGCCCAATTCACATTCACTATTTGCCATACCCCCGGCAAAAGCAACCGCCTTGCTGATGCCCTCTCTCGCCGACCCGACCACAAGCCCCCCGAAAAAGTCTACGCCTCCATGACTCATATCCAGCTCCCCCCATCCCTTCATCATCGATACACCCAAGGCTCTCTCCTACTCAGACTTCGCCACCATTTACAACAAGCTTCGCGATCTTGACCCAGTTCCCGACTACTCCCTCCACAACAATCTCCTTTACATCGATACCAAAGGCACTCACCAACTTTGCATCCCCGACGCACGAGGCCTCCATACTCAGCTCGTCGTGAGCACCATGAAGCCAAGACCGCAGAACATCTCGGTTTCCAGAAAGCCTTCGACACCATCTCCCGCTACTTCTACTGGCCTTCCCTACTCGCCGACGTCAAGGCATACATCCGCTCATGCCCCAAGTGCCAAGTCGTTAATCCCTCGAACCAGGCCATACCCGGCAAGCTCAAATCATTGCCCATCCCTACTCACCGTTGGCAGTCCATCTCCATGGACTTCGTGTGCGGTCTTCCCAGGACCGACTGCGGGCATGATTGCATCTACGTCATTGTCTGCCGCTTGACCAAACGTGCCCACTTCATCCCTTGCACAACCTCGCACAGTGCCAAAGACGTCGCCACACTCTTCTTCGACCACGTTGCTCGCCATCACGGCCTCCCAGAGAACATCATCAGTGACTGTGATCCTCACTTTCTCTCACAATTCAGGAAACACCTCTTCACTATCTACGGAACCACGCTCAAGTATAGCATTGCATTCCATCCACAGACCGATGGACAAACAAAGAAGATGAACAATACTCTCCAAAGAGTCCTGCTGAAGTATTGTCATCCTCACCAACACGATTGGGATCAGTTGCTCACAGCCGTCGAGATTGCCTTCAACAACACCATCTGCCTTTCCACCGGCATGTCTCCATTTTACCTCGACCTTGGCTACCACCCTCGCTTGCCCTCTGACTTCTTGCTTCCTTCACAGCTTAACCCATCCAACCCCTGCCCCTCTCTCAATGAATGGGTACCAACAATGAACACTCCTGAGAGAAGCCTTCAAAGCCATTGAACGAACCCAAGAACAACAAGCCAACAAGACTAACAAACATAGACGCGACGTGTCATTCAAAGTAGGGGACAAAGTCTGGCTCTCCGCCAAACGCTTTGAACCCGAACACGACTTGTCCAAGAAACTCTCCAACAAATGGCTCGGTCCCTTCCTCATCATTGAACAAACCTCCCCCGTCAACTACAAACTCCAACTTCCCCCTGACATGAGTCGTGTCCATCCAGTCTTCCATGTCGAGTACCTAAAAGAATACCATGAATCCCCGCCCCAGTACGCCGACCGCCCATATCCTAGACCTCCACCAATCATGCTACCCACAGGCCCTGAATTCCTTGTCGAAACCATCATCGACCGACGAACCACTCAGGTATCTGATCATCCGGAACCAATCACTGAATACAAAGTCAAATGGACCGGATACCCCGACGAAGAATCTACATGGGAACCTCTCTCTAATCTTAAGAACGCCATGAAACTTGTCCGCCCCTATGATTGTGCTAATCCTATGTCCTAGATACCTATATAACTATCGCATAAACCCTCGCTAAACCCTCACAACCCTGCACTACACACACCCTTGAACCCAGCCACCCTCCCCTTGACCCTGATTCCTGATGTCTCATCTGCCCCTACCCTCGCCTAGCCTTGTCCCATCTGTCCTCTCCAATACCTTGTCTCTCTTGTCCAATGCTTGTGGACCTGCGTGACGCCGACTATTAAGGATCTAATGGCAAGCGCACGAGGACGTTGGCCTGCTGCCTCACTCTTCATGGAAATTATGCAGCTGGTTTGGCCACCATGCTCTTTCATCAGCCCGCATCCCGACTCGCAGACTTACTGGAGCAGCAACTTGCAACATGGATACTTGCATCAGTCTGTCGGACGCACTCTAGCACTTGGACTTTGGACATGTCGACTACTGCTACGCTTCTTGAACTTCTACCCGTTGCAACCACTGAAGACCGCTTCCACCACCTACTCCAAAACCTGATCAAGACCGCTGCAGACCTCCTTGCAAGACACGCGGACACTTTGTTGTTCCCATATGAGATGTTGCTTCTTCGAACACAACCAGCCCTTGCATCTTGAACAAACATTTTCATTTTATTTTTTTTTCTTCTTCCCGACTTTGACAACCCTGTAGAGCATCATTACCAATACCCTGTTGTCCTGAACACCATTTCCCTTACCCAGTAGAACATCAATAGAATTTCCCTGTTCCCTGAACTTTGTTCCCCCTTAACCTATAGCAAACCATGCAGTCCCCTTAGTTCATCAGTAGGACTACCCTGCTCCCTGCCGTCCCTTCAGTTCATTTGTAGGACTACCCTGTTCCCTGCAACCCCCCCTACTTCATCGGTAGGACAACATTGTTCACCGCTACCAAACCATGTTCCCTCTTACTCCAGCAGCCTATGCCACCCACATTATACCCCTCTTCCCTTTCGACTTGTTAACCAGTGATCGGCCCCGTCCCATCCTTCACAGATTTCAGCATTGCTTCATGATTTTTGCTAGCCGGGACGTTGCCTTCCAGAGGGAGGGGATAGTGTTACGGACTACACCAGGGCTCGATCCCTGGTCCGCGGGACGCTACCCGCAGTTCACTGCACGCATTTTCTTTTCTTTGTTTTTTTATTTTTATTTTTTTCTTTGTTTTATTTTTCTGATTTCGGACACTTGGCGCCATCCAGCATTCTGGCGACCATTTTTCAAACTTTCGATTTTCATATCAGCCCTGGGCAAATTGCACTTCTGCCCATCGGACTGAACTTGAGTCCGACACTTGAGATCGGACCCAAGCCCAGTATGGGCATTCAGTTTGCGGCCTCAGTGCTTGTGCTTCAGTGTGACTTGCTTCGACGTTGTGTTCGGAAATCCAAGACTCCGACTTTGCCACTTTGCCACTTTGTGTCTGCGTCCGTCCAGTCATGTCGAGTCTGCGTCGAGTTGAGTGAGCGTGTGTGTGTGCTCTCAATCTCTCCCTCTCTCTCCCAGCCTCGTTGCCTCAGCCCCGTCACACTGCAGGCCCGTGTGGCTGTGCAGTATGCCATATCCGTACTCGTGCTCCACCACAAAAAAAAGGGAACTGACTGTGTTTTCGGGCCAGATGCATCAAACCCACTGGCACCTGCCACAGTCCCTCGCACCCCGAACGCAGTGCAACCCACTGGTACTGCTTTTCCCCCACGAACCCACGCGCCCAAAGACTCCCGCGCGACACCCCCGTTGTTCTCCTCTGTCTCCTGAAGCACCCCGCGTAGAACTCCCTGCCCAATTTTTCCTGGGCCAGTTGGGAGTGTCATGCGCGGATCGCTTTCTCCTTTAAGATATATACAAGCGGACCCGCCGCATCGACGCTGCGGCTGCGAAAGGAAAGGGAGGCATTTTATGTATTTGTAAAGGGATGGAGAAAAGAGGAGAGCCAAATGGAAGGGCGAAAAAGTGTTTTCGAAAAAAATCCATAGTTTGAGTCTCGAGAGCGCACAAAATGGCCGAGCCGGATAATGACAACAATGAATAACAGTGCCCAACATTTGAAGAGGTAATCCACGTTTTTGTATCCACTCGCTGCGGGCAATTTCAGCAGCATTGCAAGTAGTCACGGCGGAGAGGAGGGCCCGTTACCACAGCGGCTCGTTGTCGGCGAGTCGTGGCAGCAGTCTCTGTAGCATGTCGACGATGAGTGGCAGCAAACTTCGCATCTTTGATGTTCACCCTTTGACAGTCCGATTGATCTGAGCATAGGAGGTCCCAGTCGGTGACTGGAGGTAGGAGTCCTTGCAGTGTGTTGATGATCATTGGTGGTTGTTGAGGTGTGTCTGGTTCATCGTGGAGGAGCGCCTTGAGCTTGGAGATATGCAACAGCGCGCGAAATGATACAAGGCCTTGAGCTTGGAGATATGCAACAGCGCGCGAAATGATATAAGATCTGTATGTCGGGAACGGTGGGAGAGGGCAGTGGTGTTGGTGGTAGTGGAGAAAGATAAGATCGTTAAGGTAGGGCCATGTGCGAGGTGTGTGGGGAATGTTGTATACGTCGAGTGTGAGCGGGGATGCGAGGAGGTCGTGAATCATTGCAGTGGAGCGGGTAGCACCCCGGGGTTCAAGGGGGAGCCACCAAAGCGGGTCAGGTTCGAGGATGTCGTGTGGCTGGAGTGGAGGGCGGGACGGCGGCGGGGCGGATGTGATGAAAGAGTGTTTGTGGTATGCACCTGTGATTCGTTCACATTGGTAGCAGGGGCGGGTGATAGTGGGGGAGCGGAGCTTGTCGAAGTCGTTATTGATGATTTTGAGCACGAATGTTTTCATTCGGTCAAAGCGGATGTTTGGGTTTGGGTGGGGTTCTGGTTTGCAGAGCATTTGTGATCGGTTTTGTTTGTAAATGTTGAAGAAGTCGTAGATGTGGGGTGAGAATGCACCGTGGTCAGTTGAGAGGAAATCCTCCCAGAGGAGTTGATCGATGATGTGGGTGATGTTGGTGGGGGTGATGAGAGGGATCCATGTGTCGAAAGCAGGAATGGGGTTTTGTGATTCGAGGTGTGATGCAGGAATAGGGATTTCTGCGAGGGTGTTGTCATCGAGGTCAAACTGGAAAGTCGAGGTAGAAAGAGGAAGTGTTGTAAGGGAGGAGGTGGTAAGAGTAGCAATTGTGGGTGTTGCTGTGGAAGTGGGAGTAGTGGAAGGCGCCGTAGATGAAGCCGTTGTTGTGGCAGCAGTTGTTGTTGTTCTTGTTGATGTTGTGATCGTTGTCGGCTGGGTGGTTGCGGTGGACGTTAATGTAGAAGTCTTGTTTTTTTTCGAGGGCGAACCTGCATGAGAGTCACAAATGTAGTGTTAGAAAT